TAAAACCATTAAATATAAAACAAAACAAGACACCAGGTGTTGAAAACAGATTATAGATGACTCTATATAAAACTAAAAGCTTTTATACAACTCCAGACTACTAAGATTGTTGGTATCTATTTTTTTAATAAAATGAAACCAACACGACAAAATAAAAAGAAACAGTTTTTCAAAGCCAAGGAGGTAAGAGAGTACTTTACAAGTAAACAGAAACAAACTAGCAAACAAAGAACTCCAGAAGAAAATATAAAAGCAGGATTGTTGGCAACAGACCCACAGACAAAAACTGTGAGATTAAATACTTTATGAAGTACCAGCATGGCTAAAGTTTTAACTTTTCAATCTTATTTTATATGGAACGGAGAACAGATAATAAATGAACGGTTTAGGTTCTAATTCCTAAGGTGTAGTGGGTTAGGAGAGGGAGCATAATTGGCAGTTTGAACCTACCATCTACTCTAAGAACAAAAGACTAGACTTTCTACTTCCCCAAAATGTAAAGTCTTGGAAATCCACAGGCACATTTCTACTTTGTCCTGTAGAGTCACTATGTAAAGGAACTGACTTGATGGCAATGAGTTTTTCAGCAAGTAGATCCGGATTTGTGGCACAATGGTTAAACTCCTGTCTGCTAACCAAAAGGTGGGAGGTTTTAATGCACTGGTAGCTCTGCTGGAGAAAAACACAGGCCATCTGTTCCCAGCTGGACGACAGCCTAGGAAAGCCTATGGGCAGTTCTTTGTCCTACAGGATTGCTCTGTTATGTAAAGTTTGCTTCAGTTCTCAAGACTTCGCTCCTTTTCACTTAGGTCGACCAGCACACTATAATTACAAGCTTTAATTTAAAGCAGATCTTAACGGTTCAGGAAAATGTCCTATCCACACTATGTTAATTTTACTTTGGAAAATTTATTTTGGGGATAAACAGAAATTAATTCTGTCAATATCAGCTAAATAACATTGTGTTTATATGGCAGATGTCAGGGGATTTTTAAACAAAAGACTATTAAACTTTCAATTGACATCACGTGCTGAACAGCTTAAGCAAAACAAGCTAGTTACACTGAGAGAAAACAATGTTATTGGCAATTCATTCACTCTCCCCTAGTCCTTCAGGAAAGTTCCCAAGTATGTACAGAGGAGTAGTGGATATAACCAGAGGGGAGCTCTATAGCTAAAATTAACCACATCTGGTGACCACTCTATGTAAGCAAATAATTATCAATACTTGTACGTTTTCTGGTATCACTTCTGCCACAGTACTTGGAAAGTTACCCCAAACACATTAGCATATGTATCAATATAGTATGCTCTCTTTATAACTTTAGGAAGAATCACAATGGCTAGATCACGGATGCAGTATCTATATCTGTCCTCTAATACAGAGGACGAAAATTAAATCTAGTACATGTTCTCATTACTGGACAATAGCTTTCATCACCA